GATTTGAAGAGAATTGACCTGACGGGGAACCTGATCTCGGAGATCCAGGACGGAGCATTCTCTAAGCTGATCCTGCTGGAGGAACTCAATTTGGCTGAGAACCAACTGGTCAAGCTGCCCACGCTGCCCGGCAAGCTCACCACCTTCAACGCCAACCACAACCAGCTCAAAACCAAAGGGGTCAAGGCCAACGCCTTCAAGGTAGGTTTCAGTCTCTTATACTACAAAGTGGTTTATTAAGACACTCAACAACAATGTTTTTTTCAGGTAAGACAGTTCAAGACATTGCATGTTGGTGTAGCTAGCTACAATGTAAACCACCTTGGGTGCTTGATTGTGGCTGGATAGGTGGCTGACCCTCCTTTTAATAACATACCAAATAGGGGTGTAACGATCCATCTACTACATCGATGTATCGATTTATATTCATATGATCCAACTACATCGATCTGTGCTCGGCGAGTTGGCCTTTTGGACAACATATATCGATCTAACATCGTTTTAAAATGTAATAAATCGATTGTATCGATACTAGGAAATAACCCATTGGATTTAAGCACGTCAGACTTTATATGCAGGGGTGCACATAACTGGTACGCAGATACGCAAGCGCGACAAAAATCAGGAATGCGTAATGCCACCTGTGTTACTACGCGCCTTTGCGTACTTGACCGATCTTCTCATCTAACCTTACACATGACATGTTGCTTGTCAACTACTGTCAGGGATGTCCAAAAAGCAACAGACATTAAGCAGCTTCTTTGGCGTTTCGCCACCTACAAAGAAACGCCAACTGGAGCCAGAGCCGAAGAAAATACTTTTTTCGGAAAAGTGGCTCCAAGATGTGCAGTGGCTTGAAGCTAACGATGAGCGCACTGAAATGTGGTGCAAGATTTGCCGCTCAAATCCACATCTAGCAGACAAAACAGGTGCATTTTATAAAGGCTCAAAGAATTTTCAACCATCCTTTATTTGACAAACATGAAAAGAGCAAGGAGCACACGAATGTGGCGCAAGCCATTGCTAAAAGCTAGCCGAGAATAAATGTCCAGTCGCCCACTTGCCAGATGGCGAGACAAGCTGAATGAAGAACAGCGGCAAGCTCTGTTTAATATTTTTCTCTTTCCATAAAGCTAAACATCAGATCCATCAAAAAGCAGCCCCCAAAATTCAGCAGACTGCAACTTGGCTCGTAACTCCCCGCTGATGGTGTGAGCGATGCTAGAGCAAAAAAAACTGCTGCACTGAATAAAGCTATGTGAAGAAAATGGGATCTCCTTTGTGGAACTGGGTAAGTTTCATAATACCAGATGGTCTGCATGGAGGCATGAAACACTGTTAAAAATATAAAGACTATTGCCAGCCATTAAAATGCAACTGGTTACCAGGTATTTATTTCAGTCACACTGGTTGAATTTTTGGCTAAAAGGTTACTGAATCGATTTCAAGTCACTGAATCGTTTCGGATCGTATCGTTCTAAATGAACCAATATCGTCCTTGAATCGTATCGACAACCACGAATCGTGATACAAATCGAATCGTTGTTAAAACGAATCGTTACACCCCTAATACCAAAGCATGTTGGAATGATGGAGCCGTAATAAGGAATGAGAAATACTCCTGGTATAGTGATTATTAAAAGGGCGAGGGGATATTTCAAGATGGATCATGACCGGCACATTTTAATACGGATGGTGATGTTGCTCTGCATCTTCTCACCATGCAGAAACTGGAGAAGCTGGTTAACCTCTTCCTCGGAGACAATGCACTGGAGGCCGTGCCAGTGATCCCTGAGAACGTCCGCGTAGTCCACCTTCAGGTCAGTACCACACACTAGACGTAGTCCACCTTCAGGTCAGTACCACACACTAGACGTAGTCCACCTTCAGGTCAGTACCACACACTAGACGTAGTCCACCTTCAGGTCAGTACCACACACTAGACTCAGACTGGACACTACAGAATGAGTCCAAATGGCATAAGGCCCTGAGTTTATCCTGACTCGGGAAGCGAAATTTCAGAAACTTTCCCAAAGTTTCACAGAAATCTGAGTGCTTGACCTGACTGCTTGACCTGATCAGGAAAAAGTCTCGAAATGGTCAAATAGCTCTGCTGTTTGAGTGCTGTCTGGGGCCTGAGTTTCCCCTGAGTTTCTACAGCGTATACATGATCAGGAAATACTCCTAGAGCATGGCCTACCTTTACCCAGGGATGGGCAACTCAGGGACTACCTTTACCCAGGGATGGGCAACTGGCGGTCCGGAACTCGGAACTAGGTTGGGTTCCCAACGTACTGTTGAGAGTTAGAACAGTAGAACACACAAGGTGCAATTTTGAAATTTGGTCGTGCATCAGCAGTTTTTCTCTTGTTATGTCAGTCACTAACAGTCACTCAGTTAGCCATGTCAGCTAACTATTTTTTGTTTTAGTCTAGCCAGCTATCTAAACTTGTAGTGATCATGGCCGAATACCGACCCGGCACGCAGGGCATGTGTAGAATTTTTGCAACCAGGAAATGGCGGAGCGATTTCTGCATATTGCACCTTTAAGTAGTTTAACTGCACAAATCAGTTGACCGCATGTGTGAGTATGCAGACCCCGCGAGCCACTGCGGCCCCCCATGATGAGTTTAGAGTTTTTTTGTGGCCCACTACCCCCATCAAAGTTGCCCATCCCCTGTCCCGAGAGTAATAATGATCAATCTAACTGTACCCGCTCTTCTTCTCCTCTACAGAACAACAACATCACTGATGTCACCTCCGACACGTTCTGCAAGGGAAACAACACACACTACATAAGACCCCAAACTGATGGAGGTGAGGTTGGACGGGAACCCCAGTGCTGCTGTCTAAGCACCCCCGACAGCTTCACCTGCCTCAAGTCTCTCCCCGTCGGACAGTACCGCTGAACAAAAGACTCCCCTGGGGAAAGGTCTTCTGTAAAGGTTGCAACATTTCGGAAAACTTTTCCAAAATTCCCAGGTTTTCCAGAAATCCTAGTTGGAGGAGTCCTGGAATACTCCAACCAGGATTTCTGTATAACTAGGGGAATAAGCATCCAGAATCCTCCAACCAGGATTTCTGTATAACTAGGGGATTTAGGGAAAGTCTTCCGACGTCAATGGACTTCCTGGTTAAATAACATTACAGTAGTAATACACACAACTTCTACAGGGCTTTCAGACAGACAGACAGACAGACAGACAGACATACAGATAGACAGACAGACAGACAGACAGACAGACAGACAGACAGACAGACAGACAGACAGACAGACAGACAGACAGACAGACAGACAGACAGACAGACAGACAGACAGACAGACAGACAGACAGACAGACAGACAGACAGACAGACAGACAGACAGACAGACAGACAGACAGACATGTAATAGATTCAACACAATGTATAGGTAGCTTAGTGGTTAAGAGCGTTGTGCCACTAACCGAAAGGTCGCTGGTTCTAATCCCTGAGCTAACTAGGTGAAATATCTGTCGATGTGCCCTTGAGCAAGGCACTTAACCCTAATTGCTCCTGTAAGTCGCTCTGGATAAGAGCGTCTGCTAAATTATGTAAATGTAAATGTTATATGACTGGTCATCTACACCATACATTACACTTCCGTCTGAACGTTCTTCTGTAAAATTGTGCCCAGGTCTTTCTCAGTCTCTTTCAGAAGGCTAGTGGGGCTGAAACGTTAGTGTCTCACTTTAGCAAGTCAGGCTTCCTCTCAGTGTTGTTTCTGATTTTACATTTAGACTGGTCTTGAACATAGCTCGAGCAAATCAGCTAAATAGTCTGAAGACCTTGTAAATACACCTTTCATTCAATGTTTGCTTCTGCATAATGTATGAATTATGACTTCTTCAAAATGTTCAGTCAAGCTTTTGGCTTTCTGAATTCTGTGAATTACCTTCATGTAACCTGGTTCTTAACTTAAAAACTCAAGTAGAAGTTGACTATAAATGTATCTTTGAAATATGTAGCCTTTAGTAAATGTGAACCTAATGCGTCTGTGTCCCAAAATTGTCATCTCTGATATTGAAATGGTGGAATCAGAGGTGGTATGATCCCTTTCTAAAGTCCTTTTCTTTCAATCATAATTACTAAAATAATGTAGGAATTATACCTGTGATTATTACTTGTGATTATTACATGTAATTATAACCTGTGATTAACAACTGTGTGTTATCACCTGTGATTATCACTTGATTACCAACTGTGATTAATACCTGTGATTATTACCTGTGATTATTAACTGTGATTCTCACCTGTACAGTAAAAATAAAAATGTGTATTTGACTGTGGCTGTGTTTTTAAATATTTTTATCAAATTAAAATACTTTTAAAAAATTAAACCCTGCATGAAAGTCAACCAAACAAAAACATATTTTGTTTTTCAGAGTGTAATTTGTGAACAACAACAACCGTAAACATTGACATGGTATAGAGAAGGGATTAAGGGGCGAGGGATAACTTTCTCCACAATAACAAACTATGAACTGTAAGGAAAGCAAATATCTACGGGTTAGCAGTTTAGCACACATTCAAATAGGGAAGATCTGGGTTAATAATATTCCTTTAAGCCAGCCAACTTGGAAGACACGACCACTACATACTCTAAGTAACTAGGAGAATGGTTTCCAATCCATATTGCTCCTGCAGTTTGATTTCCTTTGTCATCTTTGATATACAAAATGTTTTCAGATCTCCCCCCTCTAATACACACACACAACACACACACACACACACACTTCAATTAATAAAATAAGCCTGATTCTCAAACAAGAACACGATGTGATATCTGGAAAAATATATCACACCGAGCTACTGCTCATCTGTAAGCTTGACAGGTTGACTAGTCTATAAGAGGTTGACTAGGCTATAAGAGGTTGACTAGGCTATACGAGGTTGACTAGTCTATACGAGGTTAACTAGGCTATAAGAGGTTGACTAGGCTATAAGAGGTTGACTAGGCTATACGAGGTTGACTAGGCTATAAGAGGTTGACTAGGCTATAAGAGGTTGACTAGGCTATAAGAGGTTGACTAGGCTATAAGAGGTTGACTAGGCTATAAGAGGTTGACTAGGCTATAAGAGGTTGACTAGGCTATAAGAGGTTGACTAGGCTATAAGAGGTTGACTAGGCTATACGAGGTTGACTAGGCTATAAGAGGTTGACTAGGCTATAAGAGGTTGACTAGGCTATAAGAGGTTGACTAGTCTATACGAGGTTAACTAGGCTATAAGAGGTTGACTAGTCTATAAGAGGTTGACTAGTCTATACGAGGTTGACTAGGCTATAAAGGTTGACTAGGCTATAAGAGGTTGACTAGGCTATAAGAGGTTGACTAGGCTATAAGAGGTTGACTAGTCTATAAGAGGTTGACTAGTCTATAAGAGGTTGACTAGTCTATAAGAGGTTGACTAGTCTATAAGAGGTTGACTAGGCTATAAGAGGTTGACTAGGCTATAAGAGGTTGACTAGTCTATACGAGGTTGACTAGTCTATAAGAGGTTGACTAGGCTATACGAGGTTGACTAGGCTATAAGAGGTTGACTAGTCTATAAGAGGTTGACTAGGCTATAAGAGGTTGACTAGGCTATAAGAGGTTGACTAGGCTATAAGAGGTTGACTAGGCTATAAGAGGTTGACTAGTCTATAAGAGGTTGACTAGGCTATAAGAGGTTGACTAGTCTATAAGCAGCCGGGTCATATAGACTAGACGTAATATAGTAAAAGTAAATGCGGGACACCACTGTTGTCCTCCATGACAGAGACCTAGCTATAGCAACATCTACAATTAGAGATTCTATTGTTATGGCTAAAGCACCACTGTTGTCTCCACCTAACCTTATGGCAGGGAAACATAGCTGGTTTTATATATACAAAAGTAAGTGGACACCCCTTCAAAATTAGTGGATTTGGCTATTTCAGTCACACCCGTTGGTGACAGGTGTATAAAACCGAGCACACAGCCATGCAATCTCCATAGACAAACATTGACAGTATAATGGCCTTACTGAAGAGCTCAGTGACTTTCAACGTGGCACCGTCATAGGACGCCACCTTTCCAACAAGTCAGTTTGTAAAATTTCTGCCCTGCTAGAGCTGCCCCGGTCAACTGTAAGTGCTGTTATTGTGAAGTGGAAACATCTAGGAGCAACAACGGCTCAGCCGCGAAGTGGTAGGCCACACAAGCTCACAGAACGGGACCGCCGAGTGCTGAAGCGCAAAGCACTTACAAATCACCTGTCCTCGGTTGCAACACACACTACCGAGTTCCAAACTGCCTGTGGAAGCAACATCAGCACAATAACTATTCATCGAGAGCTTCATGAAATGGGTTTCCATCGCAGAGCAGCTGCACACAAGCCTAACATCACCATGAGCAATGCCAAGCGTCGGCTGGAGTGGTATAAAGCTCGCCGCCATTGGACTCTGGAGCAGTGGAAACGCGTTCTCTGGAGTGATGAATCACGCTTCACCATCTGGCAGTCCGATGGACAAATCTGGGTTTGGCGGATGCCAGGAGAACGCTACCTGCCCCACTGCATAGTGGGAATAATGGTCTGGGGCTGTTTTTCATGGTTCAGGCTCCTTAGTTCCAGTGAAGGGAAATCTTAACGCTACAGCATATAATGACATTCTAGACGGTTCTGTGCTTCCAACTTTGTGACAACAGTTTGTGGAAGGCCCTTTCCTGTTTCAGCATTACAATGCCCCCATGCATAAAGCGAGGTCCATACAGAAATGGTTTGTCGAGATCGGTGTGGAAGAACTTGACTGGCCTGCACATATTAATTGGAACACCGACTGCGAGCCAGGCCTAATCGCCCAACATCAGTGCCCGACCTCACTAATGCTGTTGTGGCTGAATGGAAGCAAGTCCCCGCAGCAATGTTCCAACATCTAGTGGAAAGCCTTCCCAGGAGAGTGGAGGCTGTTATAGCAGCAAAGGGGGACCAACTCCATATTAATGCCCAAGATTTTGGAATGAGATGTTCGACAAGCAGGTGTCCACATACTTTTGGTCATGTAGTGTATAAAGTAGATGCTTAAGATCTACTATATCTTAAGCATATAGTGGTCCTCTGTAGCTCAGCTGGTAGAGCACGGCGCTTGTAACGCCAGGGTATTGGGTTCGATCCCCGGGACCACCCATACACAAAAAAATAAAAATGTATGCATGCATGACTGTAAGTTGCTTTGGATAAAAGTGTCTGCTAAATGGCATATTATATTTACATTACATTTCAGTCATTTAGCAGACACTCTTATCCAGAGCGACTTATATTTAGTGCATTCATCTTAAGGTAGCTAGGTCAGACAACCACATATCACAGTCGTAGTAAGTATATTTTTGCTCAATAAAGAAGTTATGAGCACAGTCAGTGCTAGTGGGGGGGGGGGGGGGGGATAAGACTGATGTCTTATTGAAGATAATCTTTTCCATGATATAGCCTAGTCCATTATAAAGTCCTCAAGGAAATATGAGTATAGAGAGCAAGTTGATCCTCTTAACAGAGAAGTGTAGAGAGCCATTTGATCCTCTTAACAGAGAAGTGTAGAGAGCCAGTTGATCCTCTTAACAGAGAAGTGTAGAGAGCCAGTTGATCCTCTTAACAGAGAAGTGTAGAGAGCCAGTTGATCCTCTTAACAGAGAAGTGTAGAGAGCCAGTTGATCCTCTTAACAGAGAAGTATTTCAGAGTAAAGCACTCTGCCTACCAGACAGTCTCAACGGGAGGTTCCCTTCTTACACAGACTATTGTTGTCAATAGGTTTTTACTCAAACACTTCTCAGACTAGCTAAATATTGGCTTAATAAAACGTAAAAGTGTTTAACCTTTTTAGCATTGTCATTTATGGGAGTAAAGATGGACTAAAGATCTGCATCCAAAATGGCACCCTATTCCCTACCTTTGACCAGGGCCAAAAGCTGTTTGGGACAAACTAGTGCTGAGCAATTAACCGACATTTTGGATATTTTTCAGTTGTAAACAATAAGACAGATTCTGGTAAAAAAGGCACTACCATC